CATCAAAATCGGAAGGGGGCACTTCTGTAGGTTTCCTTGTACAAGTGCTCATAATCCTTTTGTTTTAATCATTTTTATGTACGTAGATACCTTATATAGTTTATAGGACAATAAAATATATTAAATATGTTTACCATTTTGTGGTTATTTCATTTCTTTTTAATTTAATTAGTTCTTGTTCATAATAAAAATATAATAGTAGTAGGATTACCAGCCTAAATATACATATATTTAAAAAACTAATTTAGTCTTTATTTGTGTTAACTTTTTAAATGCATATTTTGGTAATCTGCTAAAAATTAGTAAAACAGCGACGAATGATTTAATTCTGTTTCCTTTTTCTTCACCTTTTATCATTGGGATCTTATTTTATGTTTCAATTTTCTACCACATGATCAGAGAGAACGCGTTTTATGTCCATTACAAAAAACCTAAGGGCCGGAACACAATACAAAGGTACAGGCAATAGAAACAGGGAATAGGAACAGAATGCATTGATACCTGGCTTCCGATAGGTTGAAAATCTACATTCTGTTGCTATTCCCTATTCCCTATTGCCTGTACCTTTGTATTGTGTTCCGGCCTTAACTAGTCTATGGTTATATAGTCAAGAAGGGCAGTCTTAGTACGTGGGTTATAGAGTCAAGGGAGCTCACTAACAGTTGCATGTTCCAACATCTCTTCTCTTTCATGATTTTTTTATTTTATACGGAAAAAAATCAAACCTGTTTTGCTGATAAACAGTTAAGTAGTATCTATAAAAATCGACAAAACTTTTTTTTTGATCAATTAATAAAGGAAGATTAAACACACGTGCTCCCGATATCAGGTTTACAAAAAAACATTTCTTTATTTAAAAAAATGTTAAAAACTGTTTTTTCTTTAAAATATTCAATTAGTTAATAATGATATGTATATACTGTTAAAATTAATTTCTTTTTTTAAGCACACAAAACACGTGCTAGAGATATTTTATATTTTACAAAGAACTATTTTATTATTTTAAAAATTTTGAAAAACTTTTTTAATTTTAATAATAATAATAATAATAATATATATTTTTAATTATTTAATAATAACATATATGTTGTTAAAATTTAATTTTAATCTGCAAACAGGAGCACGTGTTATCTAACCTCAATTTCTTTTGTTGCCTCACAAAGAAAGCTTTTTGTTTTCATAATCCTTGTATATGGATTTTTGATCGCATATAAAGCTAGGTCTAATCAACCAAGTTTTCAATTTTCGATGCCAATGTGTTCAAAATGTTCTAAAACATAGGAAAATCGCATTAAAAACATACGTGCGCGCGCGCGCGTGTGCGTGCGTGTGTGCGTGTGTGCGTGCGTGTGTGCGTGCGTGCGTGCGTGTAGTGTGTGTGTGTGTGTGTGTGTGTTATTGTGTATGTGTACGAATTTATCTATAACTCAAGAACTAATCAACCAAATATTAAAGAATTATGTATGAAATAGGGGTAGAAAATGTAGTATTTTAATTGGAATAAATTTCGAACTGTTTTAATTTGTTTTCGTTTATTATAACGGTAACTTGTTAATAAATTTTAATTTTTGAGCTCAAAGTAAAACAAACTTTAATTTATATTTAGTCTTTCACGATATTTCATATAGACGCTGATCGAGATTCCTTTCTTTATCCTTTCACGTGATATAATCACCTAGATAACACATTGCCCGCAAGTTGCTGTCAATTTGCTTAAAACTGCTCTGCTTAAGTTGCCTTCAATATTCAAGAAAGCGGTTTTCGATTTTACCTATTGGATTGCCGACTTTTATTGCCACCAAAACGGTTGCCAACAGATTGTGGCAACTTTTACGGCAATAAGTATGCTACGAGCTTTCCGCTTGTTTGCGAAAGGTAATTGTTATCTGCATAATGCTTTTAAGCTCTAAACAAAATTACTGTTGTCCGGTGACAGCAATATGATGAAAACTGAAGGAAAACTTATGCCAAACACTATTTCTTTTCTTATCCCAAGAAACGCTTGGTTATCTGGACATCGATTATCCCAAGTCGTTTGAAGAGGCGTTACAACGTCACTCTCCAAAATGGATATTTTAAGATCTACTAAAGATTCGCATTCTTTTGCGTTACCAGGTATTTCAATTATTTAATTAGCGCTGCATAAGAATAATAAAAATACTTAAATTTATTTATTTTTTTCTTAATTTCTTAAAGAAAATACCATAAAATAAGGTGCGGAATTCATAGATGTTTGAAATCAAAACAGCTACACATATACTCGACTCTATAGTAACGTATAATTTTCAAAATTAGATTATTACCTCACAGTTTTTATTAACTGACATTTTGTGCATCTTCTTAAATGTATAAAATATATTGTATCTTGCATAACGGTCTGAAAAAATTGCTTGTATTTTACAAATAATATTTACATTTAATAATAATATATTACACGCAATTACTATAATAATTTTATTTACAATATATTATTCTTTGTCGTGTATTTACTTGTTACATTTATATGTCATTACTTATCACTTATACTTTTTTTTATCTTCCTAATTCTAAGAATTGGCACGTGTAACCGATACCCATTTAGAATTGATTGTGGACTTTAAACGAAGAGTTCTTAAAGGAAAAGTGATTTTGACAATAACAAAGCTACCTTCAATTAATCAGATTGTAAGTAAATATTTCCTTTTATATTAAGTAAAAATTTTGACTGCAGGTTATTAACATGTAATATCGAATAATTAGATTTTAGATAACCTCGGACTTGATATATCAAGTGTCACTAACGTGCTTGATGGAACAGCTTTACATCATCATCATGTTGTAACTAATTCTGCCTTTGGAAGTCCATTTTGCGTAGATTTACCACCAACTATCGGCACTACTTATAACCCTGAGTAAATATATAAGATATTTTTAGAGAAATATATTTATTAAAAGTTATTGATGTATTAAATACCAATACGATACTTTCAGATGTAAAATTCAAATTGAATATGAAACAAGTCCAAACTCTCCTGCATTATACTGGCTAACAGCCGCGCAAACTGGCGATGGTAAATATCCCTTTTTACTGTTTAACAACAAGGTAAACTAATCAAACAAAGATATTCTTCTATATAAATGTAGAGTGTATAATCTGTATTCTTTCAGCTAATATATGCTAGAACATGGTTTCCTTGTCAGGACATCCCGTCTGTCAAATTTACGTACTAGGCTAAGGTAAGAATTTAAACACAATAAGTGGTATTTTATATGCATCCAGCATTTATTTATTTACATAAAATTGATGACATTTGATTGATTATAATTGACATTATTGATAAAAGTAATAAAATTGCAAAGAGATAGACTGCATTAGTAAGAAAAAAATAAATGTTTTAAAACACAAATGCCTATATTTTCTTAGAAACTGCTTCAGTTAAACTATTATAAAATAAAATATTTATTTAATTTTTATATATTTGTACGTTTTATTTTTTAGATTTTGGTACCAAAAAATTTTAGAGTTTTAATGTCTGCACTTTCGCATAATAATGTAGACCACGAGGATCCGCAGCTAGACAAATATAAATTCCGTCAACATTTACCTGTACCATCTTGTGCGGTGATTATTGCTGTCGGTTCATTACGGATAAAAAAACTTAATGAAAGAATAAGTATATTTGCCGAAGAGAAAATTTTTTAGTCTACTTATGTCAATAATGTTCGATACACTGTGATTGAAACTATGTTGCAAATTGCCAACGACTTATGTGGACCTTATGTGTGGGGTAAGATATATATTGACTAGATTTTTTAATATTATTTATTTAAATAAAATTAAATTTAAATTTCTTTAAATTTTTTAAAATAATTTTAATATGCTTATTTAAATTTATACGTGTATATGTTAAATTTTTGTTTTTGTGCATTATCGCACTGCAAACCTAAGTGTGTTAATTTTAGTTGACGCTCTTCATACGCATTTCTTGCAGTTTTAAATCATGCCATTTAACACGATTGAACATCTTAACTTTTATTAATCTTATACGATTATGCGTGTTCAGTGACGTAATTCAATACATAAAGAAGCGTGTTAAAAGAGCTTCAACAAAATGTGTCATTTTTAGGGCCAGTTTCACCAACGTCGATTAACTCTTTTTAAGAGGGACAGTTAGAAAGCGATGAAGAGTGAGTTTAATCGAAGATTACAGAAGATTAGACGTTTTTGTGTAAAAATAACGCATTTGGATTTGCAGCGCAATCTTTCTTTTGTTTTTTTGTTATTTATACGTTTAAAATAATATTTCTAGGTAAATACGATATATGCGTACTTCCACCAAGTATCGCTCATTTTGAAATAGAATGTCCATGCGTGACATTTATTTCGCCGAATCTACTTGGCGGAGATCGTTCTTACATCGGTTATTCGTTAGCCCGGAACATTTCACAGAGCTGGGCAGGAAATTTAATTACGTGTGAGAATTATCAGCATTTGTGGTTAAATAAGAGTTTCAGCTTCTTTATTTCCAGAAAAATTAGACGCAACGTTTTGTATCATGATGGCATAAATGCTTTTCTTCAAGGGGAAGGATTAAAGAATTTTTATAGTTTGGTAAAATATTCACTTTGACTAACAATAAGTAAAGAAATAAAGTAATAAATAATGTCACCAATTGATAATATTTTACATTGTATGCACTATAAACACACACCCAATTTCTGAATTCTTACTCGATCATTTTTTCATATTGTATTGTGTAAATTATATTGTAGGTCCAAAAACGCGAAAATGTCAACAAGCTAAGATGCTTATTACCCAATTTGGAATATTTGTCACCTGACATAGCCACTAAATGTGCCTTTACGAGAGAGGATATTTTCTCTTATGTCATCTAGAGAATATATTGGGAGGACCCACAGTATTCGAATCATTTCTTCAATCCTATTTTTATGTTTTTGCATTTAGAAGTATTAATACTACTGTTTTTGTAAACTACTTGCGTCAAAGATTTCCTGACAGAATGGAGGTAACATCTTTTTTATACATACAAACTACCCTTTTATCAGTACCTATATGTTTAACATTAAATAATGACTTCTTTGTTGATTTCAGATGTTAGATAGTGTTGATTGGCACTTCTGGTTTGGTGACACTTTCCCTCGCACTAATTTCCTCACCACCCCGCCCCATTTGTTCCACCAAATGGTCTCCTTGTGGGAAGATAAGAGTTTCAGCATAGTTAAAAAATGGATCAATTGGGATAATCGTGTTTATGGTGTACCTCCTCCTAAAGTGACAGCAGACGATAAGAACCTCTGTAACGTTCAGAAAACAATATTATTAAACAACTTACATTCTTTTTATAGGTTTATGACCATAGAAAGCTGGATCGTATTTACGATCATTTTTTCCGCGGTACCATAAGTGGAAAAATACGGTAAATATGCATATCTTCATTTAAATTGATTCGCAATTGCTTAATGTAAAGTGCATCACGTATTTTACAGGTTTCTTTGGCTGCTATTGTGCATTAAAGTTCGATGGGCTGACAAAGTTGCACTAGCTTTGAACTTTGCTACCGAACATTGCTCGCCAAATTATGCATGTCCTATATTTCAACATTTGTACGAATGAGAAGAAATGCGTGAAGAAGCGATTGAAACATATAATCGCAATAAAGAAAAGATGTTGAATAAAACCCGGGAAAAAATCGGCCAAATTCTACAACAAAACTTGTAATAATAATTTTTGCAACAATTAGCCTGATTTCATTTTTAATAGGTAAATCATTAGTAACTGCAATATATAATTCTTTTACTATATATAAAGGATGAGACTTTTAAAAAATGTAGAAATATTTATGAAACTAATTTGTTAGAGACAAAGAGTGACCGCAAAAATCATTTATTTTTGATCTCGCGATATTGGAACTGAATTGTATGTCAAATGATACCTTATGACAAAACATCAATCACAAAAAAATGTTAAGTTAAGCTGAGAATTGATTCCAGAGCTATGGGAGGTCAAAGTAATCAAAATTCATTAACTCGTCTGCCCGTATATACGCTTTAAAGCACGAATTTTTTTTTAAGTCCAATAATTTAAAACTTCGTACCCGGGGGTTTTGCTAGCTGCTGACAAGGAATTTGAAGTCAGATTTTTTACACATACTTATGGATCAATTTACTTAACAAGAAAAAGAAATTAAAACATTTTTTAAATACATGCATGGTCCGCCATATATTAAATCGGCCATTATGAATTTTAAATATCTGACTTCAAATTTATTGTCAGCAGCTAGCAAAACCCCCGGGTACGAAGTTTTAAATTATCGGATTGAAAGAAAAATTCGTGCTTTAAAGCGTACGGGCTGACGAGTTAATGAATGTTGACTACTTTGACCTCCCATCTCTCTAGAATCAATTCTCACCTCAACTTAAAAATTTTTTGTGATTGATGTCTTGTCATAAGGTATCATTTGACACACAATTCAATTCCAATATTGCGGGACCAAGAATAAGTGAAAAAACCGCTGATTTTGCGGTCACTCTTTCTAGACCCTGTGTTTATTTCATTTTCTGAGTTGCAAAGCCAACAATCAAGAGACCGGTAGTACACGCGAAGAGAGACCGCACCGTGACTCTTTTACCCAACGCGACGAGTTGCGAATACTCGAGATAGGAAATAACTGAATTCACGATGATGACTGATGACATTGAATCGTCGAATAATATATAAATTTGTAAAAGAAATATATCTTTTATATCATGCAATTAATGTATACAGAAATAACATATGTAATTATATTAGTAATAGTGTAATTCATTGTATTAAACATAAATGTATTAGCATAAATTCATTTTTCTCACAATAGACTACATATATTACTTCAACTAAAATGTCAGATCTTGACAAAGAGATCGAATCCTAGATATACCTGAATAAATTCTTGATACTGCCTGCTTGAATCGCGTATGCATATTTCGCATTTCGTCCATTCGGTAAATAATATATTTATTATACATAGGGTAAAAATACTAAAAATAGTTATTACCTCATAATCTCAATTTCAGAATAGTTATTTGTGTAACAAGTGTTGTAAGATGAAAATTCCCGGGTGCGGAGTTTACGCACGAGCCGAAGGCGAGTGCGGTAACCGCACCGGAAATTTTCATCTTTACACACGACTTACACTCCTTATTTTATGTTGCAAATGCCTGGAAAGTGGTCTATCACGCACGCGTAGCGTGCGTAATGGGGCATTTTCCATGCACGTGTTGCATAAAAATGTATAATGTGTATGTTGTTGACACATCAATTCTTTATTTATAATATTTATAACAAAAAATTAATTTAGTTAGAAAATTAATTTTTCTTTCCTAATGCTTAAAAAACATGTATTCGTCGATTTTTCTGATAATCCTATTAAAAATTAATGTTTGTTGGATTTTAATTCTTGCTAATAAAATATCTGCGAAATTATTCGATTTGTAGTGGATTTGTGCGCTAGAATTGAATATATTATAATATGAGAGTATAAGATAAAAAAATAACTTTCTTTTCAACCATAAAATTACATTTAATACATTAAAAAAACATAGAGAGTAAATCAAAGTTTTGATTTGAAACAACGCTAAAAAGTATATAATAATGTTATTTCTTCTACAAGCCCGCTGAATTAATTTTGACTAAATCATAATTGTTATATAGTATGGTCTACTTCGGATTCAACGTTGTTGCGTTAATTTAGTTGCGTTAATTTTAGTGTAAGAGTATGTAACGTAATGTTAACTTTTTCCACACTTTGGACTTAATTGTATTTTGACACTGAAGATGATCCCATAAGGGTCCGAAAGGTTTGTCAATTTTTGTTACCTTAATATAGCATTTCATAACACTTCACCTTGATGCGGTTCGATGATCTTTTATTTTGGATTGATTTTTAATCTTGTGAGCCTTTCGATATACATATATATAATATATAATATATTTGTGTATACGAATGATGAAGGAATTATGTATGCATCATAAAAATTATATATTAATGTGTATGTGGAAAGCCATGGCATAGTAAGCAATATATATTTTGTACACATATAAGAAGCATAAGACTAAAACTAAGGTATTAAGGAACTAACTCTTGAAGAATATGGCAAAATGTTTATTAACACATAAATGCGTGTATGTACGTGTAAAAGTACAATTAACTATTTCTTTACGTAATTACTTTTAATATTTTAAGACATTTGTTCCAGCGGTTCACTAATTTAAAGATTCCGTTTTTGGAAAAATTTCGTCCAAGTCATGTATATAGAAGAGAGATGTTACTGCTTCTTCACGTTTTTTATTTTTTTTTTTTTTTATATCGCTTTCCTGCAACAGCAATCTAAAGGACTAATAAATAAATGGTAGTCAACAGACTCCGGACTGTGGATGAGATAAAATTTCCCAACAAAATTGCTACACAAGAGATGTCGTTTGCGTTGCAACGCGGCCTTATTCCATTTTGCAAAATAATAATGCTATTAGGCAGTCTTCCACGTCTCTTGGATTTTACCGCTCTTCTAAGCTCTTTGTGAATTTCACTAGAATTTCGGCCCTTTGCAATTAAGGAAGGAATTGCACGAATTTCAAATATAAAGTGCGAACTTTAGTGTACGCGACATTTTATCAAAATTCCAGGTGTGCTGGCAGACATGCCTAACATACATAACTATATACTGAAACCGTTTGTTCATATCTCATGTATTAACCAATGTCACTAGATTTCGCGCAGACACGCAGCAAAAATTAAACATAATTCTTTGTCTCTTTACATATTCATGTATCTATTTAATTATGACACCAACTAGCTTCTTATTCTTCAATATGT